TCGCGCCTCGTCGAGCCCGACGTGCACCGCCAAGCACGACGCGCCGGTGCCGGTGCTGGTGGCGATGGGGCCCGTCCGCGCTCCGGCGAAATCCCGCAAACTGAGCGCCGCTTGGCAGCGTCGCAGCAGGCGTTCGTCAAGGCGCAGCATCCTCTCCACCACAGCTGAGGCAGTCGCCTCAACCTCCTCCGCCTACGTGGTGCCGAAAGAAACGGTGAAAGGTGCGCTTCTGTCGGCCATGGGGCTGCACCTAGCACGCACCGAGTCGACCACAACGTCGACGAGCCCAAGCCTCTTTGCCTCGACGGCGCTCACCTTGTCGCCCGTGCAGCAGAGCCGACGGCTCGTTGCGTCAGAGAGGCGCTCTCTCGCCCAGAAGGAGACGTCGCCCGGAAGAGACCCGCGCCGGAGCTCGGGGAAGCCGAAGGTCGCGTCTGCATGGGCGACCACGACGGCGGCAGCACAGAGGAAGATGATGCCGTCGCCACGCGTTGCGCCGCGGACGGCTGCAACCAGAGGGTAAGCAGCTGAGCGGAGCGAGGCTTGGAGCTGGTCAGAGAGCGGCGCGCGGCAAAAGTGGTCGCCGCCGACAAGCATCACGACATTCTGCGCAAGCTGCTCCGCGGTAGGGCAGGCAAGGGGCAAATGGCTTACAGTCACCGTGGCGCTTGTTGCCCCACGAGCGCTGTGCACTAGGAGGTCAGGCGACCGAGAGACGGCGGGGACTATCTGCGGAAGCGACGCGGCATCAGCACCAGCGATGGGCGGCCGAGTCATGCCCCGGTTCTCGCGCAAGCAGGAGGCGTGGCTGACCGCCTCCTCGTCGAGCAGCTGCTCGTCGACTGGCAGCCGCGGTCGCATCGCCACCGCCGCCAGAGCGGCACGTCGGCCCAGCCCCTCGGCGATGGATGTGGCCCTCCTCTTGGCCGCCCCCACTCCAGGACACACCTGTGACCACGCGAGCGGCTATGGGCGGTGTGCGGAAGCCGCGGGCTACTGGGCAAGAGCACGTACCTCATGCACTAGCCCTGCCGCGAGCGCAGTGGGCGCATCGAGCTTCGAGTCGCGAAGGTAGATGTCGAGCGCGACGGAGCGGCCGACAGCGGCGGCAAATGTGCGCGAGAGCATGCCGAGAGGACACACGCCGCGGGGCAAGTTTCCGTGTTCAAAGGTAGACCCCGCCTCGGCAACGACAAAATCAGCGTGCATCATCCCTGACCGACGAGGGCGGCGGAGATGAGACGGGGCTCGCTTGCTTCGATGAGACGGGGCCCGCTTGCTTCCCTCGCGCAGGCAGGCGTGCCTGCGAGTGCGCCGCCGACCAGAGAGCCATGCACCGCGGCGACCACCGGCACGGGGAGCGACGAGAGCTCGAGGAACCCGCGATAGACCTGCCGAAGCACGAATGCGAGAGCCGGCAGCGAGAGGTCGGCGACCGTGCGAAGCTGATGCGGATTGCCGCCCACCGAGAAATGACGGCCCGCGCCCGACAGCACCACGGCACGAAGGCCGGAGAGGCCGCGAAGGTGACGCACCGCCTTGAGCACCGAAGCTCCCAACCCTGGGGAGAAGGTGTTGAAGTGGGCGGGGTCGTGCAACTCGAGCTGCGCGACACCCGTTTCCTCGTCGAGCCACAGCCGAACGAGATCGTCTCGTACCTGTTCATGTCGGGGAGAAATCAGAAGGGGGACAGGTGCAACTGGCCTGCCCACAGCTGCAGACGGCACCGAGCCGTCTGGCGGTCCGTTCGGGGACCCCATCAGCACCATCGCGCTCGCGGCTGAGCGCGCGGGGAGCGAGGAGACACACGCCGATAGCAGCGCGGCGCTGGTACTGTGTAGCCGTGCGCACAGCCGCGACAGCTCCGTCTCGAGGTCGCCAGCTTCGCCAATGAAGTCGACGAGACCCGCCGCAAGGGCGTCGGCTGCAGACAACCGGCCCACCAAGCCCGCGGGCTGTGCAGCCCGATGTGGCAGCGCGGTACACAAGGCTGCTCCACACGGCGCGGGCGGGAAGTCGAAGGAAGCGTCGACATTCGCGAGCACCACTGTCGCCCGAAGTGGCAGGAGCAGCGCGTCGCCCCTCGTGCAGCCAGAGCACACAACTACGAGTGGAGACGCGCGCGACGACAGCTGCGCGGGCAGCTCACCCAAAGGTGCGGTTGGCTTCAAGGAGACATCGCGCAGCTCGATAAAGAGAGCGGTCGAGCAGTGCGTCGCGAGCGCTGCGCTCACGGCGGAGGAAGAGGTGTCGCCTCCGAAGGTGACACGAGGTATTCGCGCAGCGGACTCGCCCGATGACGACAAAGCCGCTGCGCCGCTGCTCACTGCATTCCAGCGGAATGCGTGGCGCTGCAGGCGAAGGGGATTCAGCCTCGCTCCGTCCACTGCAGCGCACGGGGCTTGCCTCCCAGCCGAGCGCACCACCGCGTGCGCGATGGTGCCGCCGAGGCCGAACGAGCTCACTCCGCCGCAGGCAGGAGCTGTGGCCGCTGCTCCGCCGCCCGCGCCCGCGCCGAGCGGCGCGAGCTGCGTCGGCAGCGCGCAGCCACGCCCTCGGATCGCGCCGCCGACGTGCGGGTTGAGCGCGCGCAGCTGCGCGTTTGGCGCCGCCTGGCTCGAGCGCAGCCGGAGGCTGAGGGTGAGCAGCCCCACAGCGCCCGCCGCCGGCTCGGCGTGGCCCACGTTGGCCTTGATGCCGCCAAGCGCGGGCGCCCCCCCGCCGCCGCCCAACGCGGGCAATACGGTCGCCGACAGCGAGCCAGCCTCGATCGGGTCGCCCAGCCCGGTGCCAGTGCCGTGCGCCTCGACGTGGCACATGTCCACGGCCTGCACGCCCGCCTGCGCCAACGTCGCCCGCAGCAGCGCTTGCTGCGCCGGGCCGCTCGGCGCGGTCAGGCTCGCACTCTTGCCGTCCTGCCGCACCGCTGCGCCAAGCACCTCGGCCGCCGTGCCGCCCGCCGCGCCGCCCGCGCCGCCCGCCGCGCCGCCCGCCGCCGGCCGCAGCGCAAAGGCGGCGCACGCCTCGCCGCGCGCGAAGCCGTCGGCGCGCGAGTCGAAGGTGTGCGAGCGGCCAGACGGTGAGGTCATGCCGCCCGTGGCGAGCATGATTGGTGTCAGCGGGGAGATCATCATGTTGACTCCCGCCAGCAGCGCCTGCTCAACCTCCCCGTCCCGGATCGCGAGGCTGGCGCCGCTGCACGCGACGAGGCCGGAGGAGCAGGCGGTGTCGTAGGCGACGCACGGCCCGGTCAGCCCGAGGACAAACGACAGCCGCCCCGCCGCAAAGCAGTGCCCGCTCCCCGTGAGCCCGTACACGCTGAAGCCCTTTCCTTGCGCGACCGGTGCGTACTCGGTGTACGAGATGCCCACAAAGACGCCCGTCGCGCTGCCCAGCAGCGCCTGCCTGTGCAGGCCGGCGCCGTGCACCGCCTCGTAGCCGTGCTCGAGCAGCAGCCGCTGCTGCGGGTCCATCATCGCCGCCTCCGCCGCCGAGACGCCGAAGCGCGCGTTGTCGAAGAGCTCGGCGCCGACCATGAAGCCGCCCCAACAGGCCCGCCTCCGAACCGACGCTGACAGCGAGGCTGGCAGCTCCCACCTCGCGGCGGGCACTTCGCCCACGGCACTGACGCCGCAGAGCGCCAGCCGCGACGCGCCCGCCGCGCCCAGCGCCCCGCCCGGCAGCCGGCAGCTCGAGCCCGCGACGACAGCGGTCTGCGAGCTGTCGTGAGCACGGGCGGCCAAGGCCGGCCCGACGGCGACATCGCGCTGGAGGGAGGTGTGGAGCAGGCGCGCGGTCGGGTGGTCAAAGACGAGCGTCGCAGGCAGCGGGTCCTCCGCAAAAGGCTGCAGCTGATTGCGCAGCTCAACCGCGCCAAGCGAGTCGATCCCCGCCTCCATGAGAGGTGAGTCTGCGTCAACGCCGTCGACGCCGACCACGCTTTGCACGGCCTCGAGCACGTCGTCCAGCGTGGCCAGCGCTCCGCTGCCGCCGTGGCCCTTGTCTCTTGACCGCGCGGACGCATCGCCAGCATGCTTGCCGAAGCGGGTAAGCATCGGCCTCAAGAACGATGACGCTGCTCCGTTGCCGTATCGCCTGCTGGCCGCGCCGAGCGCACGCCAGTCTATCGGCGCCACGGCCATCACCGTGGCGCACGCTCCAAACAGCGCGGCGCCGATGGCATGCATGGTCAGCTCACTCGACACGGGCCGCATGCCGCGCATCGCGATGAAGCGGTCCATGTCGGCATGGCGCGCCGCGTAGCCCACCTCAGCCACGGCGCCCCACTGCGAGCTCTGGCCGTGAAGGCCGCGCGCGCTCCGCACGCTGGCGAGGCAGTTGAGCCACGCGTTCGCGGCCGAGTGATTGCATTGACCCGATGAGCCGAGCAGGCTTGCCACGGAAGACGTCATTGCGAGCCGTAGCGAGCCGAGCGTCGCGACCGAGCGGTGCAGGTGCGAGGCGCCGTGCACCTTTGGGCCGTAGACGGCAGCCAGCGTCCGCTCGCTCTGGCTGCCCAGAACGCCGTCCGAGACGACGCCCGCAGCGTGATAGACCACGCGGAGTGCGCCCACCCCCGCCGCTGCGCCAACCAGCCAGCGAGCCTGCGACTCGTCCCCCACGTCGCACGCGAGCACCCGCACCCGACAGCCCCCTTCGGCGCTGTCGCTCACCAGCTGCGCCCAGTCCCGCTCGCTCCGGTTCTGCACCCGGCCGGTGCGCGAGGCGAGCAGCAGGCCGTCCACCGATGACGACGAGACCATCGCGAGCGCCGCGCGCAGACCGAGCCCGCCGAGCCCGCCCGTGATGAGGCCGGCGCCGCCTGCGGCGCCTGCGCCGTGGTGTGGCGCCGTCTGCGCCACCATGACGGCCTGGTACGACAGCCAGCCCCGCCCGGCGGTGCGCTGCGACGACGCGAAGCCGCAACTGCTGAAGGCCGCGCGCCACTGCTCCCACGACATGAGCGGGCTCTCGTTGGCGGCGCGCAAGGCGTCCTTCTTGAAGAGCCACCAGCCGTCCGTCTGGCCAAAGACGACCTGTACGAAGCGGAACACGCGCACCGCCTCGTTGACGACGAGGGCGCCTCCCGGCCGCAGCAGCTGGCGGCAGTGGCGCAGGGCGGTGAGCACGCTCGGCGTGGCGTGGAGCACGTTGGCCGCCACGACGAGGTCGAGCTCGTGCGAGGCGAAGCCCTGCAGCCTCGGGTCGGCGTCAATGTTGAGCAGCGCGGCCTCGAAGCAGGCGAACGAGCCGAAGCGGCGCGCCGCCTGGCGCAGGAAGAAGTCCGACACGTCGGTGAAGATGTACCGGTCGCACGCCGGCGCCAGCACCGGCAGGACCTGCGCGGCCGTGCCGCCGGTGCCCGCACCCACCTCGAGCGCGCCGATCCTGCGGCCCTCTGGCAGCTGGTCGGCCACGGACCGCACCGCGGCCACCGTCGCCGCGTTGTACGTCGTGGCGAGCACGTTCGTCTCGTAGAACGGCTTGACAGCGTCGAACGAGCCGCCGGGGAAGAGGTTCTCGGTCGCGTCGAGCTCGCCGCGCAGCACGGGCGTCAGGCCGGACCCGATCCGGACCACCTGCGCGTACGTAGTCTCCAGGTCCGGCGGCAGGGACACCGACAAGAGGGACTCGTCCAGCTCCGCCTGCTCGCCCGCACGGGGCTCCGCCCCCGCCACGCCCGCGCACCACGCGAGCAGGTGCCGGTGGTGCGCTTGCGGCACCATCTCGGCGCCGAGCGTCGCCTGCGCCTCGTGCGCAAAGCGCGTCGCGACGCCCTCGACGTGCTCGAAGCCGGCGTTCACGAGCGGCCAATCGAGCTCGCCATGCACGGCGTCGATGCACGCCTCGAGCGCGCCAGCAACCACCCCGACGCTCGCGGCCCACCCGCCACGCGTCGACGCGGGGCAATGCAGCGCCAGCCGCGGCACACGCGTGCGCCCGCCCGAGAAGGCGACCTCCGCCTCTTCGGTCGTGCTCGTCTGCAGCGCGTTGACGCCGCCCACCACGCGCACGCGGCCAGCCAGCGCGCACGCGGCCAGCGACCGCAGGGCGGGCCGGTCGCCGCTTGCGACGTCGGCAAAGAAGAGCTGCAGCTCGGGCGCCTCGAGCCGGGCGGCCCTGGCCAAGCCCCGCAGCCCGCCGTTCCTCGCCGACGGCGCCGCGCTCCAGAGGCTGCCGCAGCCGGAGCCCGCCCGCGCCGGGCCACCCACCCCGCGCGGCGGCGCGTCCGACGACGTGAGCAGCCACACCGCGCGCTCGCCGCGCAAGTGCGCCACCAGCAGCCCGAGCGCCTCGTGCAGCACCACGAGCTCCGCGCCGCCGCCCGTGGCGAGAAGCACTGGCCCGTGCGCAGCACCGTCCTCCTCGACGACGGCGGCCTCGGCCAGCCACTCGCGCGCCGCCGCGGGCGCGTCGCACAGCGCCTGGGCCAGCCGCGCGCCGCTCAGGTCGCCAGAGGGCACTAGCACGAGCAACGGAGCCGCCGCCGCCGCCGCGCCCGCGCCCTCGTCGTCCGCCGCCGCCGCCGAGAGCCACTCGGTCGCGTAGAGGCTCGGCAGCGCCTCGGCCGCCCGGCCGCCGCCACCCGCCTGCTTGGTGCGGAAGCCCCACACCCGCACCTCCTCGCGCGCGCGCGGCCCGGCCAGCAGCCGGCTGTCGCAGCTGCCCTCGGAGGCGGCGGTGAGGATCGCCCACAGCGGGCCGCGTTCCGCCGCCGAGCGCAGAACCGCGCCGTCGAGGCCCGTGGGCAGCCGCGGCGCGCCCGGCGCGCCCACGCCCGAGAGCGAGCTGCCGAGGTGCAGCGCGGCGTCGAGCTCGCTCGGGTGGCACTGCACGCCCCTGCGGCCCCGCCGCGCCGGCCGGATCGTGCCGACAACCTCCGCCTCGCCGAGTGCAGCGGCGGTGACGGGGCGGTAGAGCGGGCCGTACGCGATGCCCGCCGACGAGAACTCGGCGTAGAGCGCCGCCACGTCCAGCGGCGTGCCGCAGCGCCGCCGCGCCGCGTCGAGCTCCGCGGCCGCGCAAGCCACGGGCTCGCGCGTCGCCTCTGCGCGGCCCGCGCAGTGCAGCGACCCCGCCTCGAGCGCGGCGCCGGCCGCCGCCCCGGCCGGCGGCTCGCCGCCGCGCACCTCGAAGCCGCTGTCGTCCTGGTCGAGCGACACCTCGACCGCGAGCGAGGCGCCGCCCTCGGCGTCGAGGACGAGCGGCCGCAGGAAGGCCACGGCGCCGAGCTCCGCCGCGCCGCTCGCGCGGCCGCGGCGCAGCATGCAGCGCGCCGCTCGCGCCATCTCGAGGTAGGCCGCGCCCGGCATCATCACCCGCCCGTTCACGACGTGGTCCGCCACGAGGGCGCGCAGCGGCCCCGCGACCGGCGAGCGGAAGGCGACGCGGCCGCCGGAGGGCGGCAGCCGCGAGCGTAGCAGCGGGTGCTCCTCCGCGCGCCACACGAAGGCGCGGCGGCGGTACGAGGGGCCCTCTGTCGGCAGCGCTCCCCAGCCCACCCCTGACGGGACGGACGCGATCGCATGCGCGATGGTGCCAGAGTAGCCGAACGAGCTCGTGCCAGCAAGCAGCTCGGGGCAGAGGGGCTGGGCCAGCGCCACCGCGGTGCGGTCGCGAGGCGCGAGGGCGATGCCGCAGCGTCGGCGCATGAGCTGCGTTGGCAAGTAGATGCCGCCCGCGCCGAGGGCCGAGCGCAAATGCGGGTTCGCCCGCGTGAGCTGCGCGTTCGGCGCCACTTGCCCCGCGCCCGCGAGGCCGCTCACCAAGCGGACAAAGCCAACGATGCCCGAAGTCGACTCCGTGTGAGCGAGGTTCGCCTTCACGCCGCAGACCGGCAGCGGCGTCGCCGGTCTCTCTGCTGCCGCGCGCAGCTGCTGCCGGTGGGTAAGGCCGCCGCCGCCGCCGCCGCCGCCGCTGCTTCCGCTCGCCACAGCGGAGAGCGAACGCGCCTCGATCGGATCGCCGAGCGGAGTGCCGGTGCCGTGCGCCTCGACGGCGGCGAAGTGGGCAGGCACCGCTCCGGACAACGAGAGCGCGGCGTTGACGAGGCTCGCCTGCGCCTTGCCACTGGGCGCCGTCAGGCTCGCGCTCTTGCCGTCCTGTTGGACCGACGTGCCCGCGATGCACAGCCGCGGCGGCGTCTCGACGTCTGGCACGCCATGAATCCGCGTCTCGCGCGGAGAGACGGGCGGCCGAGGGATCAGGGCCAGGGCCGCGGTGGCTTCGGCGCGCGCAAACCCGTCTGCGCGCGCATCGAAGGTGTAGCTGCGACCGGTGGGCGAGGTCATGCCGACGATGGCCATGGTCAGCGAGGAGAGGGGGTCTAGGATCATGTTGACGCCGGCGGCGAGGGCGAGGGACGCCTCGGTGCAGTGCAGCTGCTGGACGGCGCAATGCAGCGCCACGAGGGACGCGGAGCATGCCGTCTCGATCGCCATGCATGGGCCCTGCAGCCCGAGCGCGTAGGACAGGCGGCCCGACGCGACGGCGAGCGAATGGCCCACCGCCGCATAGGTGGTGCGCGTTGACCCTGGGTGGAGGCGCCCGTTCTTGATGGCGGCCTGGAAGTCGGTGCTGTAGATCCCGACGTCGACGGCGGCGTGGGCGTGCATGAGCGAGTCGCGGCGCAGCCCCGCGGCGTGCAGCGCCTCGTAGCCGCGCTCGAGGAGGAGGCGGTGCTGCGGGTCGGTGACACGGGCCTCCGCCACCGACATTGTCCAAAAGGAAGCGTCGAAGAGCTCGGCCTCCTCGACGAAGGCGCCGTGCCGGCAGCGTGCCACGATGCGCGGGTCCGTCGTCTCGTCCTCGATGTCGGATGGCACCCACCGCAGCGCCGGCACCTCTCCGACAGCGTCGCCGCCTCTCGCCGCGCACGCCCACAGCTGCGCCGGCGTCTGCATGGACATGGGCAAGAGGCAGCTCGCACCGGGAACCTCGATGGCGACGCCCTCCGGCCCCAGCCGCGACGGCGCCCTGGCGGCCACTGTCAAGGAGGGTGCCGCCGTGCGCCACGCCGAGTCGCCGCACGCGACGCGGCCGTCCAAGCCGTCGTCGCTGCCGCTACACTGGGGCGACGAGCCGCCGGACGGCGAGGAGATGCTGTCCTTGCCGGTCCCGCCGTGCCGGGCGCGCGCCCGGAGCACGTGCGCCGCGCACGCGCGGAGCGAGGCCTCCCCCTCGAGGAGCGAAGGCGGGGTGGGCCGCCCCGACAGGTCGCGCAGCAGCTCGTCGAGCTGCGCCGGGTCGAGCCGGCCGCGGGCCTCTGCGGCCTTGCCCGCGTCGTCGTCGAGCGGCGAGCGCAAGTACGGGCCGAGGGGCTTGTCCGCTGCCGGTGGCGGAGGGGCGCCGGCGAGCTGCCGCAAGTGGCGTAGGACGAGCGTCTCCGCCTCGGCCCGGCGCGTGCTGTCGGGCGGGTGGAGGTGCGCGGGCGAGCCGAGGGAGGTGTCCGCGGCGGACGCGAGCGAGGCGGAGGAGGCGGCCGACGAGGCGGCTGACGAGGCGAGCAGGGACGCGAGCGTGGCCGCGGGGGCGTGGAGCGAGGGGCGGTGCCACAGGAATGCGCGGCGGCGGTATCGCAGCGCCGGCGAGGGCACGGGGAAGGCGGAGGCGGAGGTGGACGCGGAGGCGGAGGCGGAGGCGGAGGCGGTGGCGGAGGCGGAGGCGGAGGCGATGGTGCCGGAGAAGCCGAATGAGGAGACGAGGCCCAAGCAGTGCGCCGGTGAAGTGCGCCCTCCGCCGAGCTCAGGCAGCGAGCAGCGCTGCACCGGCAGCGCGCTCCCGCCGCCGGGCGCGAGCGCGCTCACGACATGCCGGTTCGGCCGGCGCAGCTGGCTGTTGGTCGGAGCAAGGCGCGCGGCGAGGAGGTCGCAGAGCCGCAGCAGTCCCACGGTGCCGGCGGCGGGCTCGGCGTGGCCCACGCTCGCCTTGACGCCGCCCAGCGCTTGGGTGAGCGGTGCAGCAGCCGCGAGGGACGACGCCTCGACGGCATCTCCGAGAGGCGTGCCGGTGCCGTGCGCCTCGACAGCGGCGATGTGGTCCGAACCGCCGCCGGCCCGCGCCAGCGCGACGCGGAGCAGCAGCTGCTGCGCCTCCCCGTTGGGCGCCGTCAGGCTCGCGCTCCGCCCGTCCTGCCGCACCGCTGAGCTCAGAAGCGCCACGCCGCCGCCGCCGCCGCCGCCGCTCGTCGCAAGAGCCGTGCCGACCGCCGCGGCGCAGCACGCCTCGGCACGGGCGTAGCCGTCGGCGGCCGCGTCGAAGGTGCGGCAGCGGCCGGTCGCGCTCGTCATCATTGCGAGCGCGTAGGCGGCGGCTGTGTCGGGCAGCAGCATCAGGTGGACCGCCGCGACCAGGGAGCGAGCAGCTGGAGGGACGGCGTCCGCCTCGGCGTCGCGTGCGAGGAGGGCGGAGTGGAGGGCGACGAGGGAGGAGGAGCAAGCGGTGTCGATCGACAGGCAGGGGCCGTGCAGCCCGAGCACGAAGGAAAGGCGGCCCGACGCAACGGCGGGCACGCCGCCCGTGGCAGAGAAGACGGAGCGGCCTCCCGCGAGGGCAGAGGCGTGGGCGGAGGCGACGCCGTGCTTGGAGACGACGAGCTCAAACTCGCGGGAGGTGATGCCCACGAAGACGCCCGTCGCGCTGCCCAGCAGCGCCTCCCTCTGCAGGCCCGCGCCGTGCAGCGCGGCATAGCCGTGCTCGAGCAGCAGCCGCTGCTGCGGGTCCATCGCCGCCGCCTCGGCGGGTGACACGTCGAACGCCACGTTGTCGAAGAGCTCGGCGCCGACCACGAAGCCGCCGTGGCGCACGCGCAGGGCCTGCGCCGTTCCCGAGGCGGGAATGGGCGGCAGCTGCCAGCGGCACATTGGGACCTCCTGCACGAGGTCCGCCATGCACGTTCGCAGCTTCCGCAGGCCAGCCCCGCTCGGGAGGGCTGCGGTTGCGCCCACAAGCCGGTGCGCGTCGCGCTCGGTTTTCATGCTGCCGTTGGTGAGCGTGGCCGGGACGGAGGCCGGCGCAGAGACTGCGGCGACGCGGCTGGCGAGCCGCTCCACACTGGGAGCATCGAGGAGCTCTCGCTCCTCGAGCCCGAGCGTGGCGGCGAGGGCTGCAAGGTCGTGCGAGTCCAAACCGAGGTTGATGAGGCCACGCCGCTTCGCCGCCGCATCCCAGGTGCCGGGGCGCCCGAGAATGCGGTCGATGGCCTCGCAGACAGCCTTCTCCGCCCGGCGATGCTCGAGGCTGGCAGAGGCTGTGTTTGGCGGGAGAACGCGAGCGTGCACAGCCTCGACAACCGTCGCCGCACTGCAGCCGGGGCGTGCATACCGTACGACGAAGCGGGAGCGATGCAACGCGTCCGCCAGCATGCCGAGGCCTGTTGGTCCGTCGGCGAGGGGTCCAACCTTGGCGATCGCGGCGCTCTCGTGATGTTGATGCAACAGGAGAACAACGACCCCACGAACGGTTTCTCTTTTTGAAGGGCCCGTATAAAATTCCTCTTAAGTCTTATTTTACAAGCGGCTCTCAGATCTCTCTCTCTCAGATCACACAATAATTGTGTAACGCCTGCGACTACTGACAACGCGGCGTGCGGTGAGCTGTGATGATGCAACACAGCTGTGAAACAAAAAAATCGACCAATTCACCCTCGAGTTTCTCGCGTAGAGCCGTAGCTCTGCGATCATCCCCTATCCTATCTCCACGCCGATCTCTCCTGCACCGCCAGGCTCACGCGGGCGATGCGCAGGAAATCGGCCGACGCGGCGGTGGCGGCGACCGCGCCCGGCGGCGGCAACCCACGCACGACGAGGGGAGGGTGTGTGCCTCCCCTCCCGACGCGCAGCAGCCGCTCCTCCGCCTCCTCCGTCGGCCATACCTCCGGCTGGGCCGGGCTGAGGTCTCCGAGCGCGCACGTGGCCGGGGAGTCTGAGAGCAGCGCCGCCACGTCCGCGGGCAGCGGGTGCGCGGCGAGCGGCTGGTGGCCTGTCCACACGTTGACCAGCAGCGAGACGCGCCGCCCGCCGCACCCGCCGCCGCACCCGCCGCACCCGCGCGCGCCCGAGGGAGGTGGCGTCGCGTACTCATGCGGGCAGCCGTGCAGCAGCCGTCCGTCGAAGGCAAGATGCTTGCCCGGCCGGGGGCGGCTGAAGAACGCGGCGGCGGGGGCGGCGTGCGGGCGCGCCTCTGCGATGCCGCGCTCGTCGGCCGTGGCGGGGAGGAGCAGGGTCGGAGCCCCGTCCGCCCCGAGGTAGGTCACTGTGGCGAGGAGGGGAGGCACGTGCTCGCCCTGACGCATGCACGCCTCGTCGCCGTCCCTGCGGCGGGAGAAGGCCGCACCTCGACTCGGAACGGCGCGGGAGAGGCGGCGGCGGCGGCATGCGGCGGCGGCGGCGGCATGCGGCGGCGGTACGCGATCGAGCTGAGGCTCCATCTCGGCTCCATCTCGGCTCCATCTCGGCTCCATCTCGGCTCCATCTCGGCGCCAGTGGTACGCGATCGAACGGTCCGACGCGTGCGCCGCGCCAAGCTCCCGCACCTGCCCCCAAGAGATGTAGCCGAGATGTAGCCGAGATGTAGCCGAGATCTAGCCGAGATGTAGCCGAGGAGGAGCCGAGGAGGAGCCGAGAGATGCAGCCGAGAGATGCAGCCGAGCTCGCGCACCTGCACCCACCACTCTGCCCCGCACACGCCACCGCACGCGGGCGACGGCGGCGTGCCGGCTGGCCCTCCGCCGCGCATGTGGAAGCGCAGCACCGCGAGCGCGAGCCGCTCGAGTGCGCAGTGCGGGTCGGCGCCCTCGAGCGGGAGCCAGAAGGTGCCTGGAGGAGGAGGAGGCGAGGTTGGGAGAGGGGAGGGATGCGAGCAGCACCGCGCGCGGAGCCAGAGGCTGCCTGGCCGAGTGGCGAACCGCCGCGCGAGCAGCACCGCGTCCGCCTCGAGCGCCGCGCGCGCCTCGGCGCAGGGCAGCGCGCCGTGCCTGCGGCGCGGCGCACGCGCGTCAACAGGGCAGTGCGGGCGGGCGGGCGGGTCTCGCTGCAGGGTGCCGCACCACACCCGCGCGGACGGGACGCGCAGCGGTGTCTCTCGCAGCCACTGCCCGCATGCGACGCGGAGGGAGGGAGGCGTCCAGTCGCACTCGCCATCGCTGTCGTCGCCACTGGTGGTGGCGCGGCCAGGCCGCCGCAGCGCGCCTTGCCGCTGTGCCGGCTTCGGTAGACTCGCCGCTGGGTCCGACCGACTCGCCGCTGCCTCCGTCTGGCCCGGGCGGTGCATTACGCGCACAGCCGTGAGGACAGCCGGCAGGAAAGTGTCCGCTCGTACGTCGATGGAGACCGTGAAGCCTCGCTCGTCTAGCGTGCAGCAGGAGAGCGGCCGCGAGCCGGGCATTCGGACCCACGAGTCGTCCTTGGCGCCGAGCACCGCGGTGACGTCCACCAGCGGAGCCATCGTGGCGTCGAAGATTACGCAGCGCACGGTCGAGCTCTGGGCATCAAGGGCAGCCGTGCCGGCGGGAAACCGCACCGAGCACTCGTGCGCGTTGGAAAAGGCGAGAGGGTGCTCGCCGCTTGCGACGCCGTCGACGTCGACGCGGAGTGTGAGTGCCATTGTACAGGAAAGTGCACGCGCGGGAGTTCGATTTCTTTTGTCGTAAGAGTAACGCATCACCTTTTCTTTCTTTTCATTCCTGATTTCGTTCCTGGGCGCAGGCCCGCCTCTCACAACAGGGGTCCCCAGGGTTCGACAGGGCGCTCTAGTGGGTCCCCAGGGAGCCAGGGTGGAGTCAATGATGCCCCACCGAGATTTTTTTTGTGTATGTAGCTCTTACGTACATTCCCGTAGGAGACTCTGCTGACAGGGTTTGCGATGAGGAGCGACCCGAAGGGTTTCTCGGAGGTTACTCGTAGTGCACCACTAACCGCCGAAGCGCAAGCGCTGGGAGCAAGAACACTACGACCTGGGTCGGGCTCATACTAGCACCCCACCTCGCGAGCCGACGTTCTGGCTCAGCGAGGCTGCTGCGGAGCACTCGCGGACCGGTTCTTCTGGTCCAGCGAGGCCGCTGCGGGGCACCCGGCGGCTCGGGTCACTTCTCATCGCAAACTCGGTCGAGCAGGAGGTAAAGGTGTGTGCGTGTGGGAGGCGGCGCGGCACTGTAGGAGCGGCGGATTTTGAACTTGATTTCGATGATGCCCCACCGATACCTCTCCGGACGACGGCACCGGTGGGCCCCAGAAGCTTCACATACGGTGAGGCGGGCCGCTGTGGTTGGAGCCACCGGACCGTCCGGGGACGGACGGGAGGCGGGCGTGGCGCACCAGCGGCAGCATGGCTGCGAGCCGGCCGGCCGGCTCCAGCCTCCACGGCACTGTGGCCGCGGTGCTCGCTCTCGCGGCCGTATCACGACCCGCTCAAGCCGAAAACCGGATGACAGTCCGGTGCGACGGCCGACGCACCACAAAGTAGGAAGGTCTTCTCCGCCCGGCTGGGCCCGCCCCTAGTTAGTCGGGGCCGACCCGCTCTAGCAGCCTCGGGAGGCCGAAATTTGAAACCCCCCCGCGGAGGGTCCGCCCCCCCCCCCCCCCCCCACCCCCACCCCCACCTCTTTGCACAGGGGTCCCCAACCAAGGGTGCTCGAAGCGGCTTCAGCCCCTTGACGCACTGACACCGCGGGCACGACATCAATGGCTACACTTAGCTCTGCGGAAGTCCCACTAGTCCCAGTGACGGTGCTCACCGGCTTCCTGGGAAGCGGCAAGACCACCCTGCTCAACCACATCCTCACCGCAAAGCACGGCAAGAAGATCGCCGTCATCGAGAATGAGTTCGGCGACGTTGGCATTGATGTACGCTTCCACACACTGCCTACCGCGTCGTGACGCCGTATTTGGCGGTCCTGCCCGTGCCCCCGGCCACGCCTCCGAGCCCACCCGCCGAGCCCGCCGCCACGCGAGCCCTGGTCGCCTGTCTGCCGCTGCCGTCAGCCGCCACACCGAGCCGCCGCCAGTGCTGCTGTCCGAGCCCGGCCATCCGCCTGCCCGCTCCGCGCAGGACATGCTGCTTCAGAAGAACACGAAGATGCAGTCGGACGAGGAGATCATCGAGATGATGAACGGCTGCATCTGCTGCACCGTCCGGCAGGAGCGGACCGTCGTGTGCGAGGGGCGGGCGTTGAACGGCTCACCTCTCCTTGAGACCTCTCGAGCCCTGGCCCACAGGACCTGATCGTCGTGCTCGAGAAGCTCGCCAAGCGCGTCAAGGCCGGCACGCTCAAGGTGGCCGCTGCACACTGCGCCGCCTCAGCACCGCTCCTCACCGCTACCTCAGCAGCCCTCTGGCTCGCCGCCTCTGCCCCCTGCCTGCCCCCTGCCTGCCGCCCCCCTCCCCTGCCTGCCGCCTCACCGCGCGGCCCCCCCTCGCCGCTCGCAGCTCGACGGCGTCATCATCGAGACAACAGGCGCGGGCCAAACCTCGCCGCCGCTCTCCCGTCGCCCGCCTCGGAAAACTCTCGGAACCTTCCCCGCAGGCATGGCCGACCCGGCGCCCGTCGCCCAGACCTTCTTCGTCGACGACATGGCGCGCTCGAGAGACGCCTCGCGCACACCCCGCCGCACCGTCCACGACACAGCCCACGCCGCCTCCCCTCTCCCACGACGCGGCCCTCCACCCCTCCCTCCCCCCGCCCTCCCCCCGCCCCCCTCGCCCCGCTCACCAGGTCAAGGCCTCCTTCAAGCTCGACGGGATCGTCACCCTCGTCGACGCGAAGCACGTCGAGCAGGCGCACCTCGCCGCACCCCGCCGCACCTCGCCGCACCTCGCCGCACCTCGCCGCACCTCGCAGCGCCCGGCTCGCCCTCGCCTTTGCCCCGCGCCGCCGCCGCCACAGGGCCAGCAGCAGTGCCGCGCAGACCTCGCACACACTCGCTCTAGTCCTCCCTCCCCTCCTCCCGCCCCCTCCTTCTCCTCGCCCCTCCTCGCCCCCCCCCCCCCACCCCCCCGTCACTCCTCCCTTCGCGGCGCAGCACCTCGACGAGGAGAAGCCCGAGGGCGCCGAGAACGAGGCGGTCGAGCAGGTGACACATGAATACACACACACGCCTATTCCATCACTGTGACCTGGTGGCATTTTCATGTCCCGCCCTCGCCGACACACACACACACAACCGCACCGCAAGGCGGGCCTCTGTTCACGCCTCGCTGCTCACACACCGCGCCTCTCTCAGGTCGCCTTTGCGGACCGGATCCTGCTCAACAAGACGGACCTCGTCTCGGAGGAGGACCTGCTCCGCGTCGAGAAGCGGCTCAAGTCGATCAACTCGCAGGAGAGCACGCGCAGAGAGACGCGCGCAGAGAGAGAGGGAGAGACACGCACACACACCTCGTCCGGCCGTCTTCCGAGAGCCCCACCCGCACCTCCCCGCTCGCGCGGAGGCCGCCACACACCCTGCCGCCCGCAGGCGCCCGTCCAGCGCTGCACCAAGGCGGAGGTGTCGCCCGACTGGGTCCTCGACATCGGCGCCTTCGACCTGAAGCGCGTCATCGAGATGGACCCCGAGTTCCTCAACACCGACGGCGAGATGCAGCCCCGAGATGCAGCCCCGAGATGCAGCCCCGAGATGCAGCCCCGAGATGCAGCCCCGAGATGCAGCCCCGAGATGCAGCTTGCGCGCCTCTTGTGCAGCTCACGTGGCGAGCAAGCACCACCTCGGTGGAGCTCGGGGTGAGCTCGTCCGACCTCGGCCGCAGGCGAGCACGAGCACGACACGTCTGTGAGCAGCGTCGCCATCACCGAGAATGCGCCGCTCGCCCCGAGATCCGCCGAGATCCGCCGAGATCCGCCGGGAGAAGCCGAGGGGTCTGACCGCCGAGATCGCGGCGAGATCAGGTGCCGCTCGACTTTGGGCTCGTCCAGGACTGGATCGGAGGCCTGCTGCAGAACAAGGGCGCGTGGCCCGGCCGGAGGCGGGCGTGCGGCGCGGCCAGGTGCGGTGGTGCCCCACCGCCGGTGTGTGGTCTGCTGGTGTAGGGACCGACCTCTACCGGATGAAGGGCGTGCTCAACGTGCAGCACGCGACGCAAAAGTTCGTCTACCACGCGGTGCACATGATCTTCAACGGTGCAGCTCCTCATATCTCCCCATATCTCGCACATGATCTTCAGCGGTGCAGCTCCGTGCGGCACAGGCTGCGCCGGGAGATGCAGCCGAGTCACCCGAGACCACCCCCCCCCCCCCCCTCCTCAGGCGAGTTCGAGGACTGGGAGCCGGACGAGCCCCGCGAGACGAAGCTGGTGTTTGGCCGGCGAGAGCCCGGGCGTCGCTCTTCCGTTGTCCCTATTCACACCTCGCGGCGTGAGCAGGTCTTCATCGGCAAGAACATCGACGCCGCCGCCCTCAAGGCACGCCGCCGTAACGGTCTAGATCTCGGCTAGATCTCGACGCCGGCAGCTTGCCGCCAGCGTCGAGGGTACACTCGGGGGCGTGCTGCTGTCGAGGGCTCCTGCCGACTCCGTGCGTGTGGAGCACGCGGGGGCGGCCCTCGGCCCGCGCTACGTAGAAGCTGCTCTGACCCCGCCGCGCCGCCCTCCTCCAGGCGGACTTTGCAGCTTGCGTCGCGTCCGAGGAGAACTTGGCGAAGAAGCGCGACGCGCTCCGCTTCAAGGCTGGCGCCGCACCAGAGATCCTCTCAGATCCACCCCAGAGAGTGCCTCCCTCCCCCCCCCCCCCCCTCTCTCTGCTGTCTCTCTCCGCGTGCTGTGTGAAGACCGCGTCTTGAGCGCGACAGCCGTGGGCAGGTTGGCGACCGGGTGGAGTGCTGCATGGCCCATATCTCCCCATATCTCCCCATATCTCCCCATATCTCAGGTTGGCGACCGGGTGGAGTGCAGCATGGCCGGCGGCATGCGCCAGGCGGGCGAGGTTGTGCAGCTCCTGTGGCGCGACGAGGAGATGGAGCAGGGCCAGGTCTGCCCGTACAAGGTCAAGCTCGACGAGGGCGGCGTCACCTGGGTGCCACAGTGTGCGAGGTGCGATCAGCGGGATGTGAGCCGGAGCCCTTCACTTCTCCCGCTCCTTTGCAGGCGCCCGTCGACGAGGACGACTGCATCCGCAGGGAGGAGGCGGGCGGCAGCTCGAAGAAGCAAAAGACAGCGACGGCGTAGGTTTGCTCGGCACTGGCCCTGGCCCTCCCCGCGCCCCGCTCCTGCGAAGCGCCGCGCGGTGTCTTGCGCCGGGACCGACCGATGCCCTAGGGCGCCAGAGCAGTGCGTGCAGGGAGACCGTGCTAAACACGCGCTCCTTCAGCTCTCGTGCGATGCCATGACGGGCCGACTACCGGCCTGGCTGGGCTCTTAGAGGTTTTTGTCATATTAGTTTCATGGGCGATGGGGGTGTTCACAAAAGTATCCCAAAAAAAGACTGGGTCCTGCACATGTCTCATGTGCATCAATGCATGTGCATGTGCGCTTGTGCATGTGCATGTGCACTGTGTCCCCGCCCTGCACGATCTTGGTGTGACAGGGCTCCCAATCCGTCCCTCACCCCTCGTCACAACTCCACACAGAAGAGCGGCAAGAGTTGGGGCCGCGGCTACTGCGGCTACGACGAGAGGGGCCGGGGTCGCGGGAGAGCCGCTGCGCAGCGTGTGGGCACGGCAGCACATCCTCCCTCCTTTCCTCGCCCACCCGCGAGCGAGACTGAGAGCGTCGCCGGGAGCGGGAGAGCGGAGTGGGTGGCGGCCGATCGGCGCGCCACTCGTCAAGCGCCCGCTCGCTCCGGTTCGGGGGCAGCGCGCCGCGAGCTGACCCGCAAGCGGGCACGAACCGCGAGCAGACCGAATCCGCATGCGCTGCGCCGCCTCGCTGGGGGGCCTCAGCCACTCTAGCGCCGCCGCCGCCGCCGCAGTCGCTGCCACTGCCACCGCCGCCTTCGCCACCGAGGCCACTGCCCTCGCCGTCGTCACCGTGCCGTTGTCTTAGCTGCCACCGCCGCCGCCACGCCGCCACCGCGCCGCCGCCACCCTCTCCGCTCTCTCCAGCCCTCGGCCGGCGGCGGAGACTTCAGAGCGACCAGCGCCGTGTTGCTAGGCGAGCGCTTCGCCGCCCCTTGAGAGCGAGGCCTGCAGCGAGCCGCGAGATGCTGGGGCCGGGGCCGCTGGCGGCGGCTCCTCCTCTGCAAGCGGGCTCGCGCAGCTCTCTCAGGCTCAGGTGCAGGTGCCGGCATGTGACTTAGTCATTCGCAAAGTGGGCGGCGATCCAGCCCAGGGGCAGCACGGCGCAGTCGTGGCCTAGAAACCGCGCCCGCTTGCGCCCGAGCGGCGCCAGGGCCTCGCCGTACACAGCCTGCCACCGCGCAGTGCAGAGGAACGCCTTGTTGTAGCCGAGAGCGAACGGCAGCAGCCGCTGGTCCTCGCCCTCCCCCGCCTCAAAGACATGCCTCGCCAGCCCCGACACCACGCCGGGCCAGTCTGCGTTGACCGCGTCGTCGAGGATCACGACGCCGCCGCCCGCCAGCGCCGCCGCAGCGAGCGACAGGTCAGCCAGCACCGCCTCCTCTGTGTGCGAGCCGTCGACGCTCAGCAGCCGGATCGGCCCTCGTGCAGCGGCGAGGAGGTCGGCGGGCGCGAGCTGCGTCGAGTCGCACGCGACAGACACGACGTCATGCGCGCAGCAAAACCGCTCTAGCGTCGCGTTAAAGGCCGCCTCGTTGCCGCAGCCCGACTCGTCGCGGTTGTGCTGCTGCTCCTCAAAGCAGTCGACAGCCACCGCTGCCTCTCCCTCTCGCCGCAGCAGCGCCAGTGGGACGAAGCTTCGGCCGTGGTAGACGCCGATCTCACCGACGGCGCCGCGGACGTCCAGATCGCGCTGGCGGGCATCGAGCGCCGCGAGCACGGGCAAGAGGGCCGGCTCAAAGAAACCCGGCACCGTCTCGATTCGCGCCACCATCCCCGCCGAGTCGAGGGCCAGCAGAGCGGCGAATCGCGCGTCGGCGACGTGGCTCGCGGCGGCGGCGGATGCGCTCCGGAGACGGCCGGCCGCGGCGATGCGCCGCCCAGCATCGCTCGGCCCGCGCACCGCAGAGCTGAATGCGATGAGGAAGCACATCGCAGGCGTCGATCTCATGTGTTTTTCGATTTCTCCTTTCCTGGCGAGGCACTCCCACGCCTCTCGGGCTTAGTCTGCCGAGTCAACCCGAGCCTTGGCCGGGCGAGCAGCGTTGACTGGTGTTCCGAGACTGAAAGAATTCGATCCCGGTTTGCTGTTCACAGCTAGGGACGGCCTCTGCGGCAAAGTCAACTCACCCCTTCCCCGGTAGGTGTGCGTAGAAAGTGGAGCCAATCGAGAGGTGGCAGAAGCCGCCGTGTGTGACACATATTGCGGCACGTGAGTGAGACAGCCCCGGCGCGCGCGCGCGCAGCGCTGAGCGCAACAGACAGGCGTTTTTTATGCAAACAGCAAACGGGACGGCCTGCGCAGCCTCTAACTATTTTACAACGCTGAAAAGAAATAACGCATTCACTGAAAAGAAACAACGCACGGCCCTCAGCGGAGCTGGGAAGAGGACCGCCGCAAGCGGCGTGGCGTGGAGCGGTTGTGCATCCCTCCGGGGGCCCCTCTGCGCCGGGGAGGCGTTGTTGGAGGCTAGGACGCAAGCGTCCGTCGCCCTTTTCAAACTCGGGGCCCACTCCGCTACGCTCCGACCCGAATTTGGAGGGCCTAAAAGTTTAAGGTGTTGCTGCGCAAAAGGGGTCGGACACAGGGCGCAGCTCATGCTAAGAGCTAGAAGGGGAGATGGAGAGAACGACTACCCTGTTCCCGTTATTGCGTACACCAACACCACAAAAGCTCTCTCTCTCCTGTCCTCACTCAGGGGGGTCACAACTACCGAGTCCCTCGACTAGCTGCCACGTTGTCGACCGAGAGCGGATCTCCTCCTGCTCCGCAAGGAGGGTGGCCAAGGCTAAAGTCTTGCCGGAGCCGCCGGGCGCGTTGACGACTTGGAGAAGGTCGCCCTTCTACTTGTACTTGTTGAGGGAGCCACTTGGCAGCGCGCGGCCAGCCTTCGAGCGAGCCACAGTGGAACGAGCCGCTGAATGGGTGGCTCCTGTTGACGGGAGCATTGCTGTCGCAACGCCCTTCAAGAGGATCGAGGACGACATCCTCGCTGTGGTGAACCACCTCCGTCGCCCATCCTACCCATCTCCCCCCCCCCCCTTCGCCCAACCCGCCCCGCCCATTCTTCTCCCCGTTTACGCCCCAAACGCTCCCCATAACACACGCCCGGCTGGGCAGGCCACCAACCTTGTGCTGCTACTCGTGTTCCTTGGTGCGAGCTGGACGACTCTGTTCGACGCAATCGAAGAGGAGCTCTCAAAGAAGAAAGCACAGCTCATTCTGGGCTGGCCAGACGACGCGACCATCGTCATCCCGATGACGGTGCTCATCGGCGCTGCTCTCGTCATCTTCCTTGTCGGCGCTGTCGTCGCCGCCCGCCGCGTCGCCAAGGTCCCCACGATTCGGCTCGTGACGACCAAGCAGGCCCCCGAGCTGATGCTCGGGAAAGGCATGACGTGGCACCTCTTCAACAGCCACATATGGTCAACTGGTCAAGACGCTGTCGCGGTGATCAAGAACGAGCTGCAGCAGCTTCTGCCCGGCATCAAAGTTTTCCTTGACGTGGACGACCTTGAGGATATCGGCGCGCTGGAGAGCTACATTGGCCGCTCGCAGGTCATCCTCTTTTTCCTGTCCAAGGGATACTTTCGGAGCAAGAACTGCCTGCGCGAGATCCGCTCGTCGCTCGAGAAGGGCAAGCCAATCATCCTCGTGCAAGAGGCCGACCCAGCCAAGGGCGGCGGCTCGATTGAGGCGTCATCTTATCGGCGAGGGTCCACTCCCGCCCCGCCGCAAGCGCGCTCATCCAGGCAGCCCCGCCGCCTGCAGGAGCTGCGAGCCGAGTGCCCTGCGGAACTCCAGCCGGCCGTCTTCGACCAACTTTTCCCACTCGTCGTGTGGATGCGTATCGAGGAGTTCCAACTCGTCTCCCTCAAGATGATCTCCGAGGCGCGCGAAGCCGTCATTGCGCCCACGCCTGCGGGGAAGCATCAAACCCCTCTCTTCGCGCAGGCGCTGCTAGTGCAAACTCCGACCTACGCTGGCCTACGGTCGCTCCCGCTCACCATCCCTGGCGAGGTGCAGGGTCAGAATCTCGTGTTCGCGAAGCAGGCAAAAGGGCTTCCACTGAAAAGGAAACTCCGAGTCCATTCCTCAGACACACGTCTGAAAGCGTCCTCAGGTGGTCCTTTGGGCCTCGCCCGCCAACCAAGGCGCGCGGCGCATGGCGAACGAGCTTGCCGCGTCCTTCCCTGGCGTCGCTGTCGACAATGCCGCGGAGATGCCAGAGCGGGCGACCCACATGCTGCTGTACCTGTGCGAGGAGAGCTGGTCAGACGATCGTCTCGCGGAGCAGGTCAAGCAAGTGCGGGAGGCGCGGCTGCCAATCGTCATGGCCCACGAGAACGACACGGAGCGCGGAGGCGTCCCATTTTCACGTTTTTTTGAGACGACGCCGCAGGAATCGACCTCATCCTTGTACATAATAGCCCGCAGGAGCGAGCTTATCCTTGCCCCCCCATCACAGGAGCTCATCGCGGCCGGCCTCTACCGCGACCTCGCCATCGCCTGCTTTTCGGGGCTGCACCGTCAGGCGCGGCCAGCACTCGGCATCCACTCGCACTCACACTCCTCACGGGCCCTGCAAAGTCGCTCGATGTCAAGCCGCGCCATCACCCTCGGGCACGATAGGTGTCGCTCTCTCTGCTGGCGAAGGCGATTGGCGCAATCCAGCGGGCACAAGATTCTGTGTCGATCCGCCGCAGTCTGTCGTCGATGTTGTCCCGCAAGGCCGTGACGTCGGTTGAGGCCGAGTCATCACTAACGGAGGCCTCTTTGCCGGAGACTTCCGCGTCTGTTGTCGAGGCGTCGCGTGTCTAGGCTGCACACGACGCCTGGTAGCCAACCGAGCACTTCTCCATGTCTCACGGTTTATGGCAGGGTGCAGGGATCGAGCAGAGTGGCGTGCCATGTTACGACTGTAGAAGATGTGCCGGGCCCTCAAAGCTCGACGCGTTGAGACCCGAGTCGGCGAGTGCCGAGCGAGCCGGAGGATCCTAGTTCCTGGCGCCCAGAGATTCACGAGATATTTGACTCTTGGAGTTGGTGTGTGTGTTTTCCTTACGGCTAGATGTGTCGCACTCTTTCTCGCCAGCAACACAAAAACCACGTTTTTCTTCAAATCGCCAAAAATTCTTGCATTTTGCTAAGGGAGGCGTTGGAGAAGCAAATGACGCAAGTGCGAAGCGTGGTCTCGCCGCCCATGTGGTGCGCATGTGGAGATAAGCAGATCGGGACACTGCGACAGCACAACCGGGGCAAAAAATAAAAGAAACTAGGTTGATACAAATAAATAAATTAATAAAAAACGGTCAACCCTCTGAGACGAGATGGGATTTAGGAACATGCACATGCACATGCACATGCACAACATGTGCAACAACATGACATGTGCATGTGCATGTGCATGTGCATGTGTTCCCGCCCTGCACGATCTTGGTGGGAGGGATCTTCAATCTCCGTCCCCTCACCCCTGGTCACTACCCGACACTACAAGAGCGGCGCGAGTTGGGGCTGCGGCTACGGCTGCGGCTGCGGGAGGGGCTGTGGTCGCGGGAGAGCCGCTGCGCCGCGTGGACGCGCCTACACCGCTCTTGCTCCGCTCGCCAGCTCTCGCAAAGGTCCAAAGTCATAGCCACCACCTCCTCCGGCAAGTGGGCACTGCGTCATCGGCGTTCGCTTTTTTGGTGTTTTTGTCTACAACGACGCGTGCTGCTGCGGCTTTGCGTTAGGCTGGCGCCGGGATGCCCCGCGCGCCTGACCCAGGCGCGAGAAACGAATCTGCGAGGCGTGGCCGCGTCTGCGGCCCGATGGGAAGGAGTGGGGCGGACTACTCAGTACGGGGATCGGCTTCTTACACCGCCCTTCCTCGCAGCGAGCCCCCTCCAACCCACCCGCGCTAGGTCTCGGGGGACGCAGGGGTCACACCCGACGACCTCGGGAACTAGCCGGGGCAGTCGGAGAAGGGGCAACTCTCCGTGCACTGACGGTCGGCCGTCAGAAAACACGCCTGCGTGGAACGCGTCACACCAATCCTCGCTACCCAACGCGGCCAAAGGATATCCCCCTCGAGAACCTCGACAGATTTTGTTGTGAAGAATACATTCCTCCGGTCAGGAGCTGCTGTTCACACTTGTACACACTTTCGTACGGCACAGTACCAGGAACAGCGTCCAACGTCGGCGCCGAATTTGCCTTCCACTTCTCCAGCATGGGTTGCTCGTCAAGCCGCGTACGGGACAAGGACGATCAGCGGGACAAGGACGAACAGGCCGGGACGGTCCGCATCTCGCCGTCACAAGACAGCAGCCTCGGATATTGCGAGGAAGAGCACACGGCGGCCGCGACCGTAGCCGCCACGATCGTGATGCAGAGCCACGTGCGGCGGCGGAACTCTACTCGTCTGCGGGCGCTTCTCACCGCAAGCCGCGCAAGCTGCCGCACAGATTCGGAGAGCGGTTGCTGGGCCCCGATAACGGCAGGCCAGTGCGAGATTTTGCCGCTGCCCCTCTCGAGAACAGTCATCGCGGAGGTTGTCGGAACTGGCTGCTCGGACGAGCTGGCCGAGTATGTGGCGCGGGAGGCGAGGCGCGAGTACACCGAGGCGTCGCAGATATTCGAGCTTGTCGTGGCCTCGGTCGCGTACGATAACAGCGGCGTGACGCACGTCGTGAACGGCCTCGTGGACCGTGCCGTGGCCTTTGTTCGCGCCATCGCGACGCGCGAGCACGAGGACAGCGGCGGCGATCCAGAGGCGCTCGCGGCGGCCGTCGACGCCTTTGTCCTCAAGACCTTCAGCACCAGCGACTACGCCGGCGGGTTCGCCGCCTTCGGGTCCGACCCCGACGCGGTGTTGAGCCTACCCCCCCCCCCACCCCCCCACCCACCCACCCACCCACCCACACACACACACACACACAGCGCTTCCACTCCCTTCCACGCCACACACGGGGCGCCTCTCAGGTGCGGGATCTGCTCGCCGACAAGACGGAGGACCGGCTGCGCGAGAAGGTGCGCGCGGCGTCACGCGCAGGAGGGGGGGGGGGGCGAGGACACGTCCCACACGATCGGTCGGCACGCTGTGTGCTGCAGGTGGGCTGTGCTCTGCAGCGTGGAGGCGTGGTGAATGAACAGCGAACAAATGGTGTTCAAAGCTCTCAGGTGGGCGAGCTCTGCCTGGAGGCGCTGTTGGCAGGCAGCCTGGCGGCAGCAGTGAGCAGCCTCGTTGTGCCGTGCTCAGGTGGGCGTGCTGTGCAACCTGGAGGGTCTGCTGCTGGCGGCGCTCGAGGCGGCTGGCGGTGGCGTTGGCGGCTGGAGCTCCGTCCCTGAGAAGGCCCCGTCGGATCCCCGGCAGGCGATCGACGCGAAAGAGGAGGGGTGGGGCGTCGCTGGCGGAGAGGAGGAGGCGCTCGCCCGCTTCCTCGGCATCGACTTTACCTTCTACTGCGAGCGGCGAGCGCTCACGCCGAACGTCGACGGCTTGTGGGGCACGCGTGCTTTTCGGAAGAGAGGGGGGGGGGGGGGGGCGGTGAGACAGAGCAGTCCATGACGCGTCCGTGCCGTCGCGTGCGCGCAGGCAAGTGGTTTGTCAAGCAGGAGCGGTGGACGGCGCGGCAGCTCGAGAGTTTCGCGAGCTTGCGTCCACGACACGTCCATGACATGTCTGAGACATGTCCTCCTCAGGCGCGGCAGCTCGAGTTTCGCACGCTCGCGACGGAGGAGTCGCAGCGCAACGCAGCACGCGTGCACGAGGGCGCGCGGCCAAATGAACTGCAGAGGAGCCCACGCGAGACTCGCGCACATTCATACACCCCCCCCCCTTCCCCCCCCTTCACCGCCAGACACCCTCGCCGCACTCGACATGGGCCTGTCCGTGGCGGAGTTCTCCTTCACCTCGCGGCTGCGCGCCGCCGCCCCCGCCGCCGCCGCGGACGCAGACGCGATGCCGTGGTGCTCTCTCGGGCGACGTGGGCGGCGGCACCTCCCCGAGCGGCGCGGTCTCTTCACACCTGGCATCTGTGAGCAGGTTCTCTGGCGACGTGCGGTGGGACATCGTCGACGGGTGTGAGCTGGCGTGCGCGGCTGCGGCGTGCTCTTCGCCTCCCGCTGCGCGCCTCTACTGTGAACAGCGTCTCTTCACCCACCTCTAGCTGTGAATAGGCGGCCGGCCTCCCGCTGCGCGCCTCTACTGTGAACAGCGTCTCTTCACCCACCTCTAGCTGTGAATAGGCGGCCGGCCTCCCGCTGCGCGCCTCGTCGAGCGGCACCACCTTCCAGATCCTGACCATCGCGCGCTACTTGGGCGTGCCGGCCGAGGAGATGCCGCTGCTGCGGCTCGCCGCCGTCGCTTTCCTCTGCCCGCAGCACCACTCCTTCCTCGAGGTGAACCGCTGCTCCTAGTACCCTAGTACCCTAGTGCCACTCCTCAACTCAGGCCTGTGACGAGTCAGTCCTCTCCCCGCAGCACCTCCCCGCAGCACCTCTCCCTCGAGGGGAAGGGACGGCGCCGCATGAAGAGACACGCCGTGAGGAGACGTCCGCACACGACCCGCCCACACCCGCCCCTCCCCCGTCCATCCTCCCTCGGCAAGGTCATGCTCGGCGCGAGTGAGTACTGCGGCGCCGGGCCGCTGGCCGCGGGTGCCGCTTGCTGGCGGCACCTGCTGCCGCGAGACTACTGCTTCCAACTGCCGGGCGGAGGGGCCGTCACCCGCGACTCGCTCAACGCCGAGATCGAGGCAGAGATGCGGGGTGTGGGCGACATCAAGGACTTCAGGATGAACAAGACCGTCGGCAACTACGCGTTCGCCTTCGACAAGTACCGCTCCGCGTGGCCGGCGCAAAGGCTCTCCGTCGACAACTTGGGCAAGATCGCCGCGCGCTTCCGCAGCCTGGTCGCCTTCCCCGGCGCCTCCCCCGCCCCCCCAGAGGCGGAGAGGAGGGAGGTGGACGAGCGCGCGCAGCAGCAGCAGCAGCAGCAGCAGCAGGCGCTGCACGACAGCGCGCTGAGGATCCAGGCAGGCTTCCGCGCTAGCCGCGAGCAGAAGGCGGCCTTGCGCGCGGGCATGAAGAAGCGGTGTCCCGGGCCCAAGAGCGGGCGCAAGAGCGGGGCGCAGAGGACGAGCTGGGGCAGCTCTGCCATCGACCGCATCCCCACCGACAGCCATACCAACACCAACAGCAGGCCATCTGCGGCCGCTGGCGGGCGGGCAGGCGGGCGTCGCCCGAGCGAGCGAGCGAGCGAGCGAGAGTACGAGCCGTGAGCGGCCGAGACGCGCTCGTGACATCGATGTGAGCGTGAGGAGTGGATCGGGCAACGTATGGATGAGGGCCGAGTCGGGACACCCGACTCTGGCGAGAGAGATTGGGCTGTCCGGTGCGTTCCCGCTCCCCACCACAGGCACCGTCCGCGCCGCCGCGCGGAGAGCTGTGCCTCTCTACAGACTACTGCGCACACCCTGGCCCTGCCCCGCGCCTTGCGTGATTCGACCAACTAGTGACCAACTGCGATCTGCGTGTCGGGTGTGTCGTGACACGCGAGTGTGATGTGTGAGGACTGTCGACTGTGCGAGGTTGCGATAAAATAGCCGCGTCGTATCTCGTATGGCCTATGGGCGGAGGTGACGCGAGGTGTGTTCGTAGTAAGTTTGATCTTCGCTCACGGGCGAGTCATTCTCGTTATTCGCCTTTTTCGTCTCTCGGCTCTCGAGCTCTACACCCGTACGCAGTGATCAGTGTGTAACGTAAGCTGTCGATGTGTGATTGTGCAACTGCATGTGTAACCTATATACATGTAGGCTACCCGCGACAGGCGGCTCAGCCCCCCCCTGGCAGTGATGCTGCTGGCACTGGTGGCACTGCGTGCGGCACCTTTTTTGGCGGCTCGCCCTCCCTCGGGTGTCTGCGGCTCCGCCGGCGCGTCTCCGCCGGCAGCGACGCGGCCCACACACACCCAAAGAGGAGAGGCCACCCTCTCACCCACACCAACGGGCCGCTCTCGCCGGCCAACGCCGCCTCCCGCGCCTCCACCTCGCCCGCCGCGCCGCACGCCCGCTGTTTCGAGAGCAATTCCGCCGCCTGCGACCCGTCGACAGTGCCGAGGACGAGGAGCGCCCCCGCGAGGGCCTGCACCTGCGGCCGGCGAGAGGCAGCCGGGTTGGAGCCGAGCAGCCGAAGCGCGCAGCGTGTGTGTGTGTGTGTGTGTGTGTGTGTGTGTGTGTGTGTGCGTGTGTGTGTGTGTGTGTGTGTGTGTGTGTGTGTGTGTGTGTGTGTGTGTGTGTGTGTGTGTGTCTGTGTCGCCTGTGGCCAGCGCAGCGAGAGCACATCTGAGGCGTACGCGTAAGCGGCTGTGGCATGCGGTCCCTCGGCTGACCCGCCTACGCAGTCGGGAGCTGGCTGAGGTCTAGCCGAGAAGCACGCGGTCGTGCGCGGGCCATATCGGCTCGCCGAGCAGCCGGCGGATCTGGCGCACGTCTCCGCTCGCGCGGCCCGGGGAGGCTGCCAGCTCCGCCACACGGCGGCTCGCCTGGAGGAGCGAGCAGGTCCCTTCTGCGCCGCTGAGGCGCCCCCCGTACCGGTTGAGATTGCCCCGGCCGCTCGGGCTCCACGCTGCGAGCGGCGCTGCGTTGTGTCCCCCCAGGACTCGTCCCTGCAGGATCCTCACCACTCCGGCTCTCGCTACGCTCGCTATGGCGGTCTCACCGCCTCGCCGGCACCGCAGCCGTACAGCCGGTCCTCGGCGGCGCGGCCGCCAAGCAGGTAGGCGAGCCGCGCGGCGAGCAGCACCTGCGCGGCCGGGTCGCCCTCGTGCGATACCGCTCGGAGGTCGAGAACCGGCGGAGTTGGACCGCCGCTGCTTGCCGCTGGACCGTCGCTGCTTGCCGCTCGCGCCTCTGATCCTTCGCCACCCGCACCCGTGCCTGCGTAGCACGGCGGCGCCGACAGTGAGAGGAGAGCAGTGGAGAGGAGGGCCACCGTAGATAGGGTGCAGGAGAGAGAGGCAGTGGTGAGGACAGCAGTGGCTGGCGCACCTGGCTCCCAGTCCGTGTGCGCCGCCATGTGACGCCACCGCACCGTGAGCTTTGTCTCACCGACGTACTCCCCGGCCGCCGTCACGCGCGGTACGATGGTCGCGAAGCGGACGAGCGACGGCGCCTCGATCCGGAGCCGTCCTCGATGCCGCTCGCCGGCGGCCGTCCTCGCGTCCAGCCCGCAAAACTCGAGATGCGAGGCGACGACGGAGTGGCCAGCCTCGTGAAAGGCGATCGGGTACTCCTCTGCCTTTCGCAGCATGATTAGCACCGACGCACTGCCAGCGACCGCGGCCGCCGCGCGCAGCACCGATGACATCGTTGGAAACTGGGTTTGGGCTAGTGCTGCATGTATGCTTGCCCAGGTGTGAACAACACCTCGTGACCACGGCGCCGCAGGCGCCTGTTGATGGGTCCAGGTGATAGCCATGGATGGGCAATGCATACGCCTAGTTGGACCTCAGATCGCCCGACCGCGTCCCGGTGCTCTGTGGTCGGATTTGTGACGCCGCCGCACCGCGCCGCGGCCGGGGGCCCTCCGGAGGCCAAGGATGGCCGTGGCGGACCGGGACGAGCTCTGGGAGGTAGAGTGTCAGTGTATATATTGTAGAGGCCAACCTTGTGCACAATATATCTCAGTCTAGCTAAGCCAGGGGAGGCGATACCGCGGCCGTACAGCAGCTTGATGGTGCTTCGCCGGCGTGCGTCCCGGAGCGGTCCCGGTTGGGCGGTCCGAAGGAGAAAACTCAGGACAACGCCGACACCGCTCTGATTCGACTTTTTACTTCAAACAAAGACGGCGGCACGTGCCGCGCCGTGGCGCGTGCCGCCTCTGGGGGGAGGCGGGGGCCCTAGAGGGTATCCATGCGGGGGGGAGATGGGGTCCCACGGCCCGCCGCAGGCGCCGATTTTTTCGGGATTTTTTTTCTTTTTTGCGCGATTTTTTACTTGTTTTCAAGGAATTCGCCGTACTTGCGGCCATGCTATCACGCCTTGCGACAGCCTGTCGGCGCTGCTGACCGTGCCCTGCTGCACAATTGACCACCTGCATAGCTCGCGGCCTTAGTATCAAGCATTCAGTGACGACCTGATCGTACGGCCAGTAGGAAGGTGTCCTTCCAGCGCGTGCACGCTTCTGACGCAATGCGCGTCACAAACTGCCTCGGCGACTGGCTGCTGGCACTCTCGAGGCTATGCCTACACAGCCTCGCGCGCATGGGCAGTCAAGAGGGACCATGCACTTTCTCAGGACAGCGCCAGTGCCTCTCCCTTGGACCGGCAAACGTGGTGGTCTCGTGTCACCAATGTGGGACCAGTGCGGCATCGCGCCATCGACAGCTCTGAACTGCGCCTCACCACTGACCGGGAAGGCCGCCAAGTGGGCCAGCACCGGTCGCACATTGTGGCAGCAGTCAGCAGCGCATGTCTGATAGCTAGAGCAGCAGCGTCAGGGTCGCAGGGTCGGATCGTGTCAAGCCTCTCGCCCGGCCGGCCGCGTGCAGACGTCGGCCTGTCTGCTGTCTCCTGTCTGGAGTGATCTGTCGGCGGTCAGTACGACCGATCAGGTTGGAGGTTTCTCATGATTGGAGGGTCTATCTGTGTGTACTCCTCGAGATCTCTCCAAATCTGCCCTCTGATTAACCTAGCTTAATCGGGAAGTCGGTGCTAGTAGAGACTAGTAGAGCCGGAGCCCCGTTTCCGCACTGCGGCGCGGCGCACGGTGCCTCCGGGGGCCCCCACCTCCCCCCAGAGCGTGCCGCGCGTGCATCGGAGAAGGGCAGTTCGTCGTGTTCACGCCGGGATGGTGTCCTGAGTAACCTGGGCAACCATTCAGGGCGACGAGTAGCCGTTTAGGGGGTTTGTTTCGCACGTACCTGCTGGCAGCGCATAAAAAGTAAGATTCCTTTGCTCTTTTGCTCGTAGCCCGGATCCCGAGCATCTGGCCCGCTGGGTGCGCTTAGCTCCCCGGCGGCCCCCTGGGTGTGAGGCAACCGCAGTGTCCAAGTGCTCCAAGTGCTGCTGCCGGTTCACGGCTACCCCGGTCCGTCGGCGGCTACCCTACACAGACAGATCTGCACCTACCTCGCAGCCGTCGCACCCGAGCTGTCGAGCTCATCACATCCCGGCGAGCAGGCCCATCGCGGGGAGGATGACGAATAGCGTCTCGGGTACGTAGTGGATCGGGTACTTCGGTTTGACCTAGGGTTAGCACCTGAGAGCTACCGAGATGCAGCCGATACGAGCTGGAATGCCGTGTCGCTGCTTGCCTCAGAGAAGAGCCCCAGCTTTGCGGACCAAGGGTAGAGGAGGCCGGTGGCGACGATCCACGGCAGGACAATCTTGTACGCCTCTGCCGTCTCGAGCTTGAGCACTAAGGATGTCGGGCGCAAGCATGAGCGGATATTGCGTTGCCATGATGAGGACCCGCAAGGGATATCACTTGCTCCCACATACATGCGCTGCCAGAGACTGCACTAGTATCCACACCGGCGGCGATAGCGGCAAAGGCGGAACAGGACGTTGCGCGAGTCAGCCAGACCTATGAGAGTACCGCGGTGGAGCCAGTCCACTTGCTTGCGCGTCTGCGTGTCAGGGGTTCGGAGTTGGCTCGCCGAGAGGGGCGTCGACGCGTCGTGGAAGTGGGACTCGGTGAGCATCTTAGGCGTCGCGAGCCTGGGGGTCAGGGTTAGGGAGGAGGAGGATGTCGCAAGTGAAGGGGGAGGAGGAGAAGGGGTCGCACTCGAAGTATAAGCGCGGGTGGTGGGTAGGTTATCGCTCGAGGTTCTCGAGGTGGACATCCTTTGGCCGCGTTGGGTAGCAGGAGGCTGCGGGCGGGGAGGCACATCTGGACGGCGTAGACGCCCCAAACGGTGCACGAGGCCTTGATGAATGACTCTTTGGACAGCATGTGTGTGTGTGTGTGGAGGCCGCACTCACGTCGGAAGACAATCGGCAAACCCAGGGCGCAATCGACTGCGACTTGCAAGTCTCAGGCGCCGCGTTTTATTCTCCAAACCTCGCAATCTTTTCTTGCACAGTGTTGTGCGAGGCAGCGGTTGCAAAATTCTTTTCTTGTTTGTTCGCTGTTGGCGCGCCTCAGTATGCCCGAGTCCGTGTCGTACGCGTGCCGCCACGTCTGCACGGGCCACAAGCGTGCCGTCTCGGCGGTCAAGTTCTCGCCGGATGGCAAATGGCTCGCGTCGTCCTCCGCCGACATGACTGTGCGGCTGTGGAGCACCACCAACTGGCGGAGCGTGCACACGATGCAGGGCCACTCGCAGGGCATTTCGGACTGCGCCTTCAGCGCCGACTCGCTCTACGTCGCCTCCGCCTCGGACGACCGCACCGCAAAGCTGTGGGAGGTACTGCCGCCACCGTCCCGCTGCCGCTCGCCCACAGCGACTCAGCCACCGCCGAGAGCCCGCCGCCGCCAGCCCGTCGCCGACAGCCCGCAGCGCCCAAGCCCGCCGCCGCCGAGCCCGCCGCCGCCGAGCCCGCCGCCGCCACCGCTTCTCGCCTCTCACCTTGCGGGCTCCGCCGCCCATCACCGCTGCTCACCTCGCCGCTGCCGCCGGGATTGCGCTCTGCTCAGGTGTCGAGCGGGAAGCTGCTCAAGACGATGCGCGGGCACGCCAACTTCGTCTTTTGCCTCAACTTCAACCCGCACGGCAACCTGCTCGCGACCGGCTCCTTCGACGAGTCCCTCCGCCTCTGGGACGTCAAGACGGTGACTCGCTGAGATCAGCCGAGACCCACCCGAGACCACCCAGAGCTTGCCCCAGACTCCTCCGCCTCTGGCGGCGAGGCGGCCCCCCGCTGCCTCGAGCCGCGCCTCTCACAGGCATGCCTCTCTCCGTGCGGACCCTTCTCTCGCCCCTCCCCCTCCGCCAGGCCCGCTGCCTCAAGATCCTGCCCGCGCACTCGGACCCGGTCAGCGCAGTGCACTTCTCCTGCGACGGTACGCTACTCGTGTCGGGGTCGCACGACGGGCTGTGCCGCATCTGGGACACGTCGACCGGCCAGTGCCTCAAGACGCTGATCGACGACGACAACCCGCCAGTCTCGCACGTCCGCTTCTCGCCCAACGGGAGGCGCAGCCTAGGAGGGAGTACCTAGGAGGGAGGAGGGGTCCTTGTTGTCGTTGCCACCCTCCTGTCTCGGCTGCATCCCGGCTCCGCATCGGCTGCAGGTACGTCCTCGCCTCGCTCCTCGACGGCGCGCCGCTGCCTTTGAGCTCACAGCAGAGGAGGCTGGCAGCGTCTCTTCTCACCCGCCCTCGCGACCGCAGGCTCGCTGCGGCTGTGGAACTACCACAAGGGCAAATGCGTGCGCTCGTACAGCGGCCACAAGAACACTAAGTACGCACCCCCGCCCCCTTACCCTCCCTCACGTCGTGCCTCTGTGTCCCGTGGCGACCCTTCCGCGACCTTTCCGAGACCTTTCCGAGACCCTTCCGAGACCCTTCCGCAGGTTCTGCTGCGTCGCCGACTTCGTCACGTCCTGCGACCCGCACCTGATCGTGTCGGGGTCCGAGGAGCGGACACGCCCCCCCTCCGGACTCGCCACACACCTGCCCGCACACGCGCCTCCCACGCACCCGGCGGCGGGCCCGCGAGGAGTCCGCGAGGAGTGCCGCCCCACCTTTGGCCTCCTCCCCTCCCGCCGCCCCCCTCCCCCGCAGGACGGCCACATCCTCCTCTGGGACCTGCAGACCAAGGCGGTGGCGCAGGAGCTCACTGGCCACTCCGACGCCGTCCTCGGCGTCTCGGTGAGCCGACCGCCGCCGCCCAACAGCGCCCCTCCACCGCGCCGCTCCCACCGCTCCCAGCCCACCAGCACACACACACACACACACACACACACACACACACTGACACGCACCAGCACACGCCCAGCTGGCACTCCGCATCTGCGCGCCCCAGCCTCGAGCTCTTGAGACGGCAGGGCCGCCTCTCTCTCTCCGGCAGGTCCACCCCACGCTGCGCATGTTCGCCTCGGCCGGCACCGACAAGAACCTCCAAAACATCCGCATCTGGGTCGACGAGACGGGGCCGCCCGCCGCATCTCCCGCCGCCCCCTCTGCCCCTCCCGCCGCCCCTGCCGCCGCCGCCGCCGCCGCCGCCGCCGCCGCCGCCGCCGCCGCCGCCGCCGCCGCTGCCGCCGCCGCTGCCGCCGCCGCCCCTGCTCCGTCCAACGACCCCGCCGCCGCTCCTGCGCCTGTGCCGGAGGCGGGCGCGCCCCCGCAGTCGGTGGCCGGCGTGGAGCAGGAGGGGGGGCCCGCCGCCAAGGTTGCTCGTCTCGGCTAGAGATCCACAGGCTCGCTGCGCGCTGGTCTCGGGAGTGAGCCGCGGCTGTGCTGCGGTGTCCAGCACGACAGAACGAGTAGGGTACTAAGTGTAGCGCTTTATCCGCATGCGGCATGGTGTCCGGCTCGGGGCTCACCGGACACACACCGCCGCTCCATGTGTCCATGTTGGCGAATCAAACTAAAATCGTACTTCAGAAACAAAATCAAAAAGACTCTCTTGTGATCAGACGAGGCCCACCCGCCACCCTCCTCCCTCGTCTGGCGTCTCGAATTGGCTCAGCGTACAGCGAGAAAACTTGATGGTTTCGCTGTCTGAATCGTGGCGGGGTCGTCCCCTAGATGCAAAACCCGGAGTTCCTAACCGATGAAAGGGATATCGGTTACTGCTCGTACGTGTTTATCCGTAGACTCCTCTAAACGCCCCGCGAAGGTAGTTTGGGGGGCCCAGCTGGCGCGGCTTGACACATACATGCACATGGAGCCAGCTCCCGCCTCAGTACATAACGGAGATATCGCTTCCTGTGTGGTGAAGGTTGAGGGAAGCTCGGAGCTGACCAGCGTCGCCGAGGCGCATGTCGCTGCGCTCGACCATTCGGGAGCGACCGCCGCGACCAATACGCTGCAGCAGTCCGGGGTGCAGCCGCTGTCTTTGTGGCCACCAGCAGCACAGGGTGGCAGCGCAGCGGCAGAGAATGGTGGCGAGAACTCGCAGGCGGCGGTGGCCGATGCCGTGGTTGCGGCGGTGACGGCAGAGACCGCGGGTGGGGCGACGGCGCGAGAGTGTGACACGCGGCCAAAGAAAAAACGGTGTGCCAGCCCTGCTGCACTCGCTCGCACCGCCTCACTGGGCCTGCTACAGGCCCAGACTGGCTCAGATTCCTCCCTCGCTCAGCCCCGCCCTCGACTAGATTAGGGCACACGCCACACTGTGCTGCGTCCGCGCTGTTTTGGCTCTGCATCTCGCACCGCCGCTTCCATACCCTCAGGCGGGCGCCGGGCGCAAAGGTGCCGCGATGGTCAGAGGACGAGGAGACGAAGCTGCGCGCGCTGGTGAAGAGCGGGGTCAAGGATTGGGCCAAAGTGGCTGCTGAGCTGGGCACTGGCCGCTCGCCGGCCGGCGTCGACCAACACTGGCAGATCCTGTGCGGTGGGCGGCTGCACCGCCTCACTTCCACCACTGCCGATCCGCCTCTCTCTACCTCCCTCCCACACCACCGCTGCTACTGTACCGGCCGCTCGTTATCCGTCCCACGGCCCGTTACCCATGCCTCGGCCCGTAGCCGCTGCCTGTGGTGTCAGACAGGGCGGCCCGTAGCCGCTGCCTGTGGTGTCAGACAGGGCGTCGCTCCTCACCCTCTCTCCGCCACGCTTGGACCCAAGCAGGCAAGCGGAGGCGAAGTGGCGCCGCCACCGCCGCGAAACAGCAGCTGGCGCGCCGCTTCCGACACTGAAGTATCGCTAGACACATCCTGGACTGCTGCACACGGCCCACAGACGCCAACGGGCCACCTTCGCCCGGGCCTCTCGCGACTAGATTCAATCTCTGACCGCACGACGCCTCCCAACGCAGTCGTCGCCATATGCGGCGTCTCCCGCACAGAGCGGCGCCGAGGGCGCCGCCTGGTGGGTGTGCGCGCAGCGCGTGTGTGAACGGCGGCACTTCACACCGTGTGCTACGTATAGGCGCGTTGGTGGTGCACGCGGCCTTCGATGGTGAGGGCGCTGGAACGGACGTAACTCCATTCGCCTCGGAGGATGTGTCATCCGCGGGCCATCCTCCCGCCAAGCCGACAAAGCGCACGGTTCACACCTCCGAGAGATCCCAGCTCTGCGCTCACTACCCGTGCGTTGGGTCATCTGATGCCTCGATGCCTCCGTGCCCACTCCGCCCTCGCCACTGCGCCCTGGGCCCACGGCACGCACGCGCACACCATGCCCACAATACGCCCACGGCAACCCTTATCGCTTCCAAGACCGTGTCCTCTGTCCGCAGCGCCGATCGTCGGGCAAGGTCGCGCGCTGGACGGCGGAGGAAGAGATTCGGTTGAAGGTGCCACCTCACCTCCCTCGCTCCAGATCTCGGCAGCACCGGCTGCATCTCGGCGGCAGCTCATACAAACGGATCCCCGGCTCCATCCTACACCCCGACCTCATTCTATCACTGCTCTTGTCGCCGCCGCTGCGGCTGCCGCCTCGATTTAATCGCCCTTCCTCGCCCTATGTCGAACCCGGCCGGCAGGAGCTCATCGCAGAGACGCCCGATGCCTCCTGGGGCGACATCGCGGAGCGGCTAGGGACGGGGCGCTCCGGCGCGGGCATTGACCAGCACTATCAGATCTTGATGGGCAAGCGGAAGTCGTACTACGTGAGCGCGAGCGACCGGCGGAACGCAGCCGACGCCGCGAACGCAGGTGCGGGCTACGAGACATACCATGTCCGGTCTGCCACCATAGTTGCACTCCACTGCGCAGCACCGCCCACATCCACGGCGCGAGGACGTTTTGTCCACTGACGCGTCCACGATTGTGTGTGCAGCTCCGATTGCGGTCGCCATGGTCGACTCGGGCCCCGACCCCGCGAATGGCGACGAGGAGGCACAGATTGCCGTCGCCCGGCCAATGGTGGAGTCGGGCGCAGTTGCGGGGGAGGGGCTTGGCGCCGCCGCGCAGAATAGGGAGGAGGCCCCTTTGTGCGAGGCCGCCGCCGCGCCCTTTGCCGCAGCTTCACTGCACCAGGTCGGCGTAGGGCAGGTGAGAGAGCCACTTCCGTGATCGATGGCCACACACTCCCTCCTTCCTCGCCCGCTGAGACGGTCCACGGCACTACATAGGTGTACAGTGGCGCGCAACTCGTGCAGCCGGCCGATGCAGGACAGGCGGGCCGGCCGTCTTCTCCGATAGCGCAACTTGTTCGGGTCTCTTCTCATGCTGCCATGCATGCCGCTTTAGGCGTATGGCATGCCGCTGATTCAGCCGGTGCAGGCGACAAGAAAAGGGAGACATTTTCAATAGAGCACATGAAGCTGGGCCCGAGCCCTGCTCTCGACGCGCGCGGCGGGGTGCGCAGAAGGGAGTTCTTTCTTGTGTGTTGTCAGGCGTACGGGGGCCAGGCGTACGGTACGCCTACGCCGGTGATGCGGCCGGTCGACAGCGCTTTTGCGATGGTGCCGCCCGCCGCCGACACGAGCCAAGCGTACGGCGCACCAGTTGCCCTCGCTGTGATGGCGCCCGCCGCCGGCACGACCGCTGCCGACGCGAGCCAAGCATACGGCGCGCCTCCGGTGGCGCAGTCGATCGAAGCCACCAGCCAGGCATACCAGGAGCTGCAGTCTGCCGGGAGCTGGTGCAGCGCGGACCAGTCCTATAGCACGCCGTTGAGACAATCTGCCGACACGGGGCAGGCGCACACCGCGCCGCAGAGCACTGACCAGGGCGCGCCCCTGACGCAGCCCGCCGAGCGTGGCTACTGCATGCCACCGCCGGAGCTGCCATTGGACGGCGGCGCGGCGGGGGATGCGGCCGGTGCAGCCGGGATTGCGCATCCGCCAATGGCCACGGGGCAGGCGCAGTAGGGAGCCGACGGACCGGCGCAAAATTGCCAGCGTTCTGACATATCGAAGGAGAGGGGCGGCGGCAAATGCATATACAGCAGCGACGTGATTCCTTCGTCAGGTTGAGTGCGAGGCCGTGTGACGGCGTTCGTTGCACGCAGGGGCTAGCACGTAGGCTTAAGGCTTCTCTCTCGTGTGTGGGCTTTTGTGCTAAGAAGTAGAGTCGAGAAGTAGAGCGAGTCGCTGATGAGTGCAATGCTCGTGCATCAGATCTCTTCTCCAGGTAGAGTACCAGGACCGACACTCCGCTCCGCGCCACGGGGTGTCCATGTTTCGTTCCAATGAAAAAATATCTCTGGCGGGCTCCGGCACGCGGCACGCGCTGCGGGACGGCAAGATCCCTCACACCAAGATCGTGCAGGGCGGGGACACATGTCCCTACGAATCCCATCTCGTCTCAGAGTTTGACCGTTTTATTTATTTGCATACTACCCCCGGCGCACAGTGTCCCCCGCTATGTGTCGCGCCGTTCGTCGGGGCACGCTATCCTTGTGCAACCGCACATCCAGGGCCGGGGAGCTGAGAAGCGCACCCAGCGGGCCGGATGATTGGCATCGGGTTGCGGGCCAGAGAGCCCTATAGCCCTGGGGGGTGCGCGTTCGCAGGGCCATAACACGGGTCTCCGTAAAGACAAATAGCTGCCGCACAACCTGAATGGTTAACACAATATCAAAAGACACTCAAGCCAGTTTTGCAAAAAAAAACGCGGGGTCGAAATTCTTTCTTCTTGCGCACCGCCTGGGTTCCAACTTTTTGCGGGGTGTGGTATGGTAGTCTCGCGGCCCACAGGGTGGGGGGGTATGGTTTTGACCGCCCATCCCCGGTCTGGGAGGCTGGGTCTGTCAGCAGGCGGGGGGGTATGGTGTCGACTCACCATACCATACCCCGCAAAAAGTCCGAACCCTGGCGGTTTTGGCGGGTTGGGTGCATGGCCGCCAGCTCGCGGTCGAGACGCCTCGCTCCCGGCTCTGCCGCCGCCAGTGCCGCTCAGGTCGAGGCGCTCTGCGATCGCATCCAGCGGCTAGAGGAGGAGGCCTCGGCGTGGCGAGCGGAGGAGGATGCGCTCAAGGACGTCAACGTGCAGTTGATGGAGCGACTAACAGAGTTCCAGGTGCTCGCGCCCAGCGAAGAGTGTGCCAGCTGCCTGGCCGCCAGTCTCGCCCTCGGGTGCGTGTCCTCAGGCGGTCAACGAGTCCAACGTGCGCCACGCGGAGGCGGCGCTGTCGCGGCTGGGTGGCGAGCTGGCCGAGCTGCGGCAGCGCCACGCCGACGCGCTGTCGACGGTGCAGCGGCAGGCGAGATTGTTGGAGCGAGAACTGGTCGCCGAGGAGGAGGGCGAGCGTGGGTGCAGCTCCGGCGTGGCGAAGGGAAAGGCGGGGATGGCGGCGGTGGCGGATGTGGCTATCTGGCAGCGGTGCGACCTGTAGGTTGCCAGGGCGCAGCCTCGGCCGTTGTGGCGTCGGAGGCGGCGACGCTCCTCCCGCGCGTGCGCCGGCGGCTGCTCGCGGCCCACTGGCACGCGTGGCACCGGCGGCTCCTCGTGGCGTTGCACGCGCGGCGCGTCGCCCGCGGCGAGGTGCCGCCGCCACCACCGCCGCCGCCACCACTTCTGTCGCCGCCACCGCCCTCTGTCGCCACTCCACGCCACTGCCTCCCACGCCGCCGCCAGAGCACCACAGCCGCCACCGCCGCCGCGACCCCCCCCCCCCCCCCCGTCCCCACTCTGCTGCAGCTCTGCTACCAGGACGACACCCAGCTCCCCCCTCCCCTCCCCCCTCCCCTCTCCCCTCCCCTCTCCCCTCCCCTCTCCCCTCGCCCGCGCCAGTCGCTCCGCTGGCGGCTGGCTTGCTTCGCGGCGTGGTCGGGCCTGACCGAGCGCAAGCGGCGGCCGCGCGAGCGGTGAGCCGAGATCTAGCCGAGATCTAGCCGAGATCTAGCCGAGGTCTAGCCGAGGTCTAGCCGAGATCTAGCCGAGATCAAGCCGAGATCTAGCCGAGATCTAGCCGAGATCTAGCCGAGGTCTAGCCGAGATCTAGCCGAGATCTAGCCGAGATCTAGCCGAGATCTAGCCGAGATCTAGCCGAGGTCTAGCCGAGATCTAGCCGAGATCTAGCCGAGATCTAGCCGAGATCTAGCCGAGATCTAGCCGAGATCTAGCCGAGATCTAGCCGAGATCTAGCCGAGATGTAGCCGAGATCTAGCCGAGATCTAGCCGAGATCTAGCCCAGATCTAGCCGAGATCTAGCCGAGGTCTAGCCGAGGTCTAGCCGAGACGTAGCCGAGATGTGGCCGAGGTCTAGCCGAGATCTAGCCGAGACGTAGCCGTATATAGTCGAGATGCAAGCGGCGAGCGGCGCTGTAGGTGGGCGCTAGCGCTTGCGCTCGAGCAGTCGCCGCTGCTCAGCCAGAGGCGGCGGCTGCGCGAGTGGAGGGCAGTCTGCCGCCGCCGCAGGAGCGTTTCGTCCCTCTCTCTCTCTCTCTCTCTCTCTCTCTCTCTCCCCCCCTCTCTCTCTCTCTCTCTCTCTCTCTCTCTCTCTCTCCTCTCCTCTCCTCTCCTCTCCTCTCCTCTCCTCTCCTCTCCTCTCCTCTCTCCTTTCTTCTCTCCTCTCCTTTCCTTTCCTCTCTCCTTTTTTCTCTCCTCTCCTCTCCGGCCCTCCACCCCCCCCCCCCCCACGCACAACACGCCTCCCCGCCGCAGGAGAGTGCTCCCGCATGTCACATTCTATTACATTCTATTACATTCTATCACATTCTATTACATTCTAGGAGAGTGCTCGGCTCGGCTCGCGCCGCGGCGATGTCCCTCCGCCTGCGCTCGGCGGCAAGCCGCTGGCGGCGCGCCGTCAGTGCTCTGCTCTCCCGACGGCGGGCCGAGGCGCGCCTCTCTCCCTCTCGACCTCGCGGCGGCGGCGAGAGGAGCTGAGGGGAAGGGAGGTGTGCGCGAGAGTGTTGTAGGCGTGGCGTCTCGCGCGCGGAGAACACGCCCGCGCGCGGCGCCTCCTCGGCCGCGCGCTGAGCGAGTGGGCGAAGGCGAGCAGGCGGCGGCGCACGAGGCTGCGCGCCGCTCGCTCCCTGCTAGCGCGGCTCTGCAGGCGTCGCGCGCGGCGAGGCTTCGCCGCCTTGCAGCGGTGCGCCGCCTTGCGCCGGTTCTCTCGCGCGGCGTCGTGGTGGGGGGAGGTGCTCCGGGCGAGGAGGAGGCGAGGCTTGCTGCTGGTCGCTCTCTCGAGGCTCCGCGACGCGCTTCTGCAGCGGTGCGTGCAGCGGGGCCCCGAGTTGGGTTGGGGAGGAGGTGGGGAGGAGGTGGGGAGGAGGTGGAGAGGAGGTCGGCAGGAGGAGGTCGGCAGGAGGAGGTCGGTTCCCCTGGCTTGGCCTCGAGTGGCCCGAGGGGCTGCAGAGGCACACCGAGTCTCTCACACCGAGTCGTCTCTCACACCATCCGGCGGGCTGAAGGTACGCCGAGCGCGCGCGCGTCGCCGAGGAGCAGCGCGAGGACAGGTCGGCGCTGCTCGCCCAGGCGCGCGGGAGCTCCCCCTCTCTCGGTCTCCCGCAGTGCCCCTGCCTCTTTCGCGGCGCCCCTCCCGGTCCCGGCGGTGTCGCGCCTTTCGAGCGGTGCCCGGGCTCCCTCCCTCTCGCCCCCCTCTCGTAGGCTCGCGCCACGAGCGGCCAGCTGGAGCGGGAGGGCGGCGAGGCGAGGGAGGAGGCGGCGCGGGCGGCGAGGGAGAGGGACGAGCTGCGCGCGCTGCTGCGCGACGAGGGGCGGGGGCGGGAGGAGGCGGAGGCGAGGGAGGCGGCGCTGGCGGGCGAGCTCGAGGAGAGCCGGCTGCAGCAGCAGCGGCTCAAGGCTTCGTCCGAGGTGTCCCTCGCGGAGCTGGCGGCGGAGCGGCGGCAGCAGGACGGGGCCTAGACGGGACCTAGATGTGGCGGCGAGGCAGCCCTCCTCCTCCGGCAGGAGGAGGCGTGGCTGCGGCTGCGTCTCGGCCGCATCTCGGCTGGACCTCCGCCGCAACTCGGCGGTAGGACGAGGCGCGGCTGCGGAGGACCGTCGAGGCGCAGCAGGAGCGGCAGCGGTCGGAGGCGCTGCAGGAGGCGCTCGGCGAGAGGGAGCGGCTGCTGGCGCGCGCGCGCGCTGACCTCGAGAAGACGTCGTCCAAGCTGCGCGCGACGGCGCAGGACCGCGCCGCCAAGCTCCAGTCCGCCTTCAAGGTCGCATCTGCGCTGCGCGCGGTGGGCGGCAGTACGGCGGGGGAGGGGCGGGAGCGTGGGAGGCGTCCGCGACGCGTCCGCGACGTGCCGCTTAGGTGGTCGGCCACAAGGAGGAGGAGCGGCGTGCGGCGACCGCGCACGCCGAGCGCGCCGCCGCCGCGGCCGCAGAGCGCGACGCAGCCGCGGCCGCCCACCTCCTCCATACCGCCACCTCCTCCCCACACGTCCACGACACGTCCACGACGCGCCGCGCAGGCCGCTTTGCGGGCAGAGATGGACGCGATCCGAGCCGCGCTGGTCAGCGCCGAGGCGGAGCTTGCGGCCTCCCGCCGCGCTGACAGGGACTCGATGCACGGGAGCGGCGCGGAGCTCTTGGCCGCTCGCCGGGACGGGGCATCGGCGGGGGCGGAGGGGAGGAGAGGGGCGGAGGAGGAGGGGGGGGAGGAGGTGCAGCCGCGGGGGGACAGCCCGCCCCTCTCCGCCTGTGGGATCGCGCTGCAGCCGCATGCCGACTTGGCTTCGGGCGGCGGCGGCGGCGCTGTCAGGGACGGCGACGGCGGAGGCGGCGGCAGCGGCGGCGATAGCAGCAGTGGCGGCGGCGCTGGTGGCGAGGGCGACAGCTGGTGGAAAGGCGACCGCGACGAGGCTCCGGACTCGGCGCCGAGCACGACGGCGCCGAGCAGCGCGGGGGGCTCGGGCGGTCGCTGCGACGCGGACGTGCTCGCGCTGAGTGGGGAGCTGGAAGCGGAGCAGGCTCCCCCCTTCCAACCTCCTCCTCCCTCCTCCCTACACCTCCCTCCACCTCCATCTTCGTACGGAATTTAAACGTGGATAGCCCTGCAGGAGGGGTCCAACTTCTCCCCTAATGAAATTTGTGTACTACCGGGTGAATTTTCTGGCGTTTTCGAGTTTTTCTGGGAGCTTAGGTAGTCTTAAATTGGCGTAATAATAAATCT